AAAATTCTCATTCCCAAAAGCTTGTAAATTACAATATAGTATATTTGTACCTGAATTGTCCAAAACACTTATTCAGTAAAAGTAAACAAGAATAAATATGGCCAGAATTATTGCATTGTAAAGTGCATCAACAAATTGATGAAAAAAAATTCTATTTAATGCATGGACAGTTAAATTCTGTTAAAACAGTGTTTTTTTTTTGCCCTGGCAATTCAACCACCTGGTTGAATGGATCAAATCAAGATGCAATATATCAACCTAAATACTAATGAGAACAAACAATTGAATATTTTTGTCACAAAATTTCACTGTTCAAAATATTGTTACCACTTGCTGAATCAGATGATGACTCAGCTTCTACAAAAATATAATTGAAATTTAACAATTCAGCCTGCTTCAAAATAATTATTTTTAATGGACAAATTAATAGAAGCATTATGGTACGCAATATACTTTATTTCACATTTTGCTCAGTGGTTTGTTGGTGTAACCATCCATCACTATGCTTGTATCCATGGCGATATTCTTTTTGTCATAGTAACCATAACTGTGGTTCGTCACAGCTGGAATTAAATCCTGCTCACACCACCTGAGAAAAAGTGAGAAGTTGATGAGAAACCCCAATGAATGAAACTAAAAAATTGAAAGCTACAAAAACAAAGTAATTAGTTTTTTAGAACCGTTGAGGGTGTCCTTGGTATGTAAAGCCTTGGCACTGACAGGAAGGGGTGATTGTATTCAATTAAAAAAGCTGCATCACCATGACCTTTAAGTCTGACCTAATTAGACGCAAGTTCAAGTGCCTGGTAATAGTTACCACATAAGTTACCATGGAAACAGAAAACTGTGTTATGCATACAGAAATATTACTAATATGTGTCAATGTACCTGAAATGTAAAACATGTATAAATTTTTTTTTATTACACCAGAGCCAAAAAAATAATTGTTGTTGCAGTATAATGATTATTGCACTCAATATATAGTTACAAATGTTGTGATTATGGACAGGTATTGGAGAAATTGATATGCAGATTAGTAAGCCATCAGTTTTTGTCATATGCAGATTAGTAAGTCACCATTTCTTTTTTCATTTGCAGATTAAGTAAGCCACCAGTTTATTTTTTATATGCATATTAGTAAGTCGCTATTTCTTTTTTCGTTAGCACATATAAGCTGCCATGTTCTCAAACGCAGAATAGTAGGCTGCCATTTTTTTTTATCATTTTTATCATTTTATCAAGTTATCATTTTGTTTCCATATGCAGATTAGTAACAACAGGTGTTTTTTCACATGCATATTAGTAAGCCACCATTTAAAATAGAAAGCAGCCAGAGTTTTTTCATATACAAATTAGTATGCCACTCGTGGGGGCAAAGCTATGTCACAGAACATTCTATGTTGCTAAGTGTAATCACTGTACCATGTATTTCTATGGGCTCTGTGTGAGCTGCTGTGGAACGCTGGTTAAAGAGCCGTTGAAATAGCACAAACTCAACTTGCAGTAATCCTGGGTAACCAAATTTATATATGTTGCACATATATGGGTAATCTTGTTACACTGTTCAGGAGTATCTCAACAACTATCACAATCACAGTTTTTTGGGAATTTTTGGCCTTTATTTTCATTGTTGTTGCCAGGCAGTAAAATTACCTGGATGTTCGCTCCAAGGATAAATTTTTTTCATTAACATATTAGTAAGCTGCCATTCTTTATATGCAGATTAGTGAGACTGCACAGCCTTTTCCATATGCCTATTATTAAAATCCTTGTGTGTCAAAAATAGAAGTGACCTAAAGTATGTGGATGTTTCACTGGATAACCGCAGCTACTCATATGATTATAAATATGCAAAGCTTTCCCCTACATAAGAATCAATTTAGACAAGTTTACATGTACATGTTTTTATTACCTTACGGCGATGGTGGCATCATGCGCCATTGCTTCATCCCACGCAGCTTGCTCTAACAGCAGGGAAGCCATGTAGCACCGAGCCAAACTGAAAGCAAAATCCCTTGCTGCAACCTGTAACATGGCAGGATCATCAGCAAATGTAACTTCCAAGAACTTGGCAAGTTTACCCACACTTTGGGATGTCAGCTCACAGCCTCTTTGTACATTCGGATTGGTGGATTTTGTAGCTGTTGTCAGTTTGTTTTGTATTTCTTTCATCAAAGCCTGCAAGACTTGTCCTTGTGTTTTACTAATGGATCTAAGTACATCTAAAGACAGTATATTGGTTGTACCTTCCCAGATTGGAAGAACCTGCAACAAAACAATAACTATATCATGTCTCTCACTTAACTTACACAGAGATGCAAATGCTGTGTAACAAAATGTCTCTCAACTGCCAAGATTAAGAGGGTATCAGCTCCGTTTTTAAAATTAATTTTGTGGTATGAAATAAAACAACAAATAGATCAAATTTTCTACATGTAACTATGCTAGTATGTGGTATACAAATAGCATGACATGAATTGTTGTTCAAACTATATACAGTGACCCCTCGCTGAGTCACGGTTTTGGCTAAGTTCCAGGTAGTTGGATTGTGTTTTGCTGGCAATTTTGGAGTAGAAGAACTAGTTTTCGCATCAGGTATTTAATTGGCCGTTAAAGGGCTGACGGAGGCAACTTAACACCAACTGGCCGTCAAGTACTGAGATACAAAGCCCGACTTGAGGTGTCAACAGGGATGTGAAATAAAGAAAACGTACTATAAATAAACCCACGTGTGTACATGTGCTTTTTATAATGTACGTGTGCATAAAGCCCTCTTTCACAAGACCCATTGGTAAGTCGCAACACAAGTCGTGGCTTTTGCTTGGATTCAGAGACCCATGACTTAGCAAGGGGCCATTGTATACATTCTAAAATGTGACATCATATATATTGAGGTAGTTCACTACATAGAAAAAAAATGATCACAGTAAATCATTGAAAAATTGTTGTGTAATGATTCACATACACGCAAATCATTCATATTTAAAATACTTATGAGGAAAGAATGATGTGATTAGGAAAATATATACAAAATAATAAAAAAAAATTTGAAACATTTCTCATAAGAATCCATGTAAACACATTATTCCATTGATAACTTGTACTACGATAATATTCAAAATTCCCAATTTGTTTTTTTTGACAGCCCTAATAACACTACATCATTGTGCATATCATTTCTTAGCATAGGTTACCAATTACAACACTTACGCTGTTTTATATCATTCGTGTTGGCTACCCATGGAGGATTACAGTAGGCGATGTGTTTAGTAAAATCTACCAAGGCTTGTTCGTGAAATTTAGTAGAACCATGCAAATAATTGTTGACAAATAAAACTTGGATTTGCTTGTCTATGTATCTCACAGAAAATGTAATGCACACATGTACAATAAATTCAAGTTTGTGTTTTTTATCTGAATAACAGCAAATAGTGAATGAAGTATTACATGATTCAACCTTAACTTTAGTAAGATGAATTTAAAGCCAAAACAATAGGGAAAAAATGAGTATTGAGAGATATTGCTCTGGAACAGCATTAATTAAAACAAAATCAGCCATTATGAATATATGTATAATGAATATATAAAATTTGAACATAGTCAGTCAAAGCATGTCAGAGATATGGCTCTAGAAGCCCATTCATTAAAACAAAATTAGGCGAGGGTTCTCCGAACCCGTCTATTCACATAGTTCATACCCACCATAGACTCCGGTCAGTCAAAATGACTATTTTGAACTGTAGGCATTAATCAGCGATTCTGCCGGTGACAGAGAGATAGAATCTAGGTCAGGGGAAGCCCCATGGCAGCGCCACAGGTAGCCGTCCTTCACTCTGGTTCCTTTCTCTCCGCCTCGAGGACTTAGACCAACACGACGGAAAGAGTGGGGAGGTTGGGGGGGGGAC